ATTATATGTTGCCTGTTCAAGAGTAACATCAAGAAAAAATCTGAAAATTCTTATTATGAAACAATTAGGAGATAATTCAAATTTAATCAATTATACTCGTAATGTTGTATATCCAGAGATCTTTCAATAAAAGTTATTATTACAGCTATTCTCAAAATTCCTGGACCACTCAGTTCATTTTTGTTCTAGAGATAAATTTTTCATATGCAATCATATGCAATCATATGCATAGGATTATTACTGATCGTCAATAATTCGGGCCAAATCTGTAATTCCAGCCTGAATTAATTTCATTTTTTAGAAATGTAATGTAACACTAATTTTATGTAGGAAAAAGCTTTAAATTTGACCAGAATTACAGATTTGATCTGAATTATTGACGATCAGTGATAAACTTGTGCGTATGACTGTGTATGAAAAATTTATCTTCAGAACAAAAATGAACTGGGTGGTTCAGAAATTTTGAAATAGCTGTAATTAATTGATGATTATATATATATATTGACTGTTAACGTAGACAACGGGTATATACTAGTAGTAGATTAAAATATTAATAGACTTTAAAAATGCTTTAAACTTGATAAATTATAAATTATTAAATAAATATATTTTAAAATAAATATCTGAAGTCTTAAAATTTTGGCTTTTATCTAATTTTCTTTAAAGTAAAAACCTTTAGATTTTTTTTTATCTAAATATAAAGAAAAAATAAATGACATATTGATGCAAAAAACTGTATATTAATAAATGGGAAAAGTTATTTCTTACCCGGGTGATTTCTCACTCATGTCACGTGATTGGTTATATCACGTGATTAGGATCACGTGATTTCAATTTTCAATTTATTTACTAATATATATTAAACGCATAACATAATGCGTAACACACGAAACGTCACATTTTAATAGTATAATAAATTTTTTCTCACATTTTTATACTTTAGCATTCTATATTTTTAACATTCTTCTTTAATGTTCCATATTTTTTAATGTTCCATATTTTTTTACCTTCCTTTTTCTTTCGTTCTACTTTGAATTGACATTTTTCATTTATATTTTTCTCAAGTAATGGAAGTGGATGAAAATTACGATGAAAATGAGTGTATTTTAGTAAATACACACAATAATATGCTAGGTATCGAACTTCTTGAATACAATGGACAACTTTCTATTATTAATATACCAATTAATTTAGAAGTTGGAGTTAGTTTTCTGTCACCTAAAATAGCTGACCATTATATCGAACAATATGCATTGCAGCAATATTTCATAATTTTTAAAGCAAAATTTGAAGTTCATAGTGATAAAATCTTTCGGAAACGAGTTTTCAAATGTGATATGGGAGGTCATTGTAAACAAAAACTTTCTGATCCGGCTGTTGGCAGTTCAAAAAAAAGGGTTCGAAAAAGATTGGTTGCGAGTGGCAAATTAACATGACGAGTCCTAAAAACTCATCTTTAGTAAC